ATACGCACCCCTACCGTCTGACATCCACCATACGCACCCCTACCGTCTGACACCTACCATACGCACCCCTACCGTCTGACATCCACCATACGCACCCCTACCGTCTGACATCTACCATACGCACCCCTACCGTCTGACATCCACCATACGCACCCTACCGTCTGACATCCACCATACGCACCCCTACCGTCTGACATCCACCATACGCACCCCTACCGTCTGACATCCACCATACGCACCCCTACCGTCTGACATCCACCATACCACCCCTACCGTCTGACATCCACCATAACGCACCCCTACCGTCTGACACCCACACCATACGCACCCCTACCGTCTGAACATCCACCCATAACGCACCCCCTACCGTCTGACATCCACCATACGCCACCCCTACCGTCTGACATCCACCATACGCACCCCTACCGTCTGACATCCACCATACGCACCCCTACCGTCTGACATCCACCATACGCACCCCTACCGTCTGACATCCACCATACGCACCCCTACCGTCTGACATCCACCATACGCACCCCTACCGTCTGACATCTACCATACGCACCCCTACCGTCTGACATCTACCATACGCACCCCTACCGTCTGACACCACCATACGCACCCCTACCGTCTGACACCTACCATACGCACCCCTACCGTCTGACACCTACCATACGCACCCCTACCGTCTGACACCTACCATACGCACCCCTACCGTCTGACATCCACCATACGCACCCCTACCGTCTGACATCCACCATACGCACCCCTACCGTCTGACATCCACCATACGCACCCCTACCGTCTGACATCCACCATACGCACCCCTACCGTCTGACATCTACCATACGCACCCCCTACCGTCTGACATCCACCATACGCACCCCTACCGTCTGACATCCACCATACGCACCCCTACCGTCTGACATCCACCATACGCACCCCTACCGTCTGACATCCACCATACGCACCCCTACCGTCTGACATCCACCATACGCACCCCTACCGTCTGACATCCACCATACGCACCCCTACCGTCTGACATCCACCATACGCACCCCTACCGTCTGACACCTACCATACGCACCCCTACCGTCTGACAATCCACCATACGCACCCTAACCGTCTGACATCTACCATACGCAACCCCTACCGTCTGACATCCACCATACGCACCCCTAACCGTCTGACATCTACCATACGCACCCCTACCGTCTGACATCCACCATACGCACCCCTACCGTCTGACATCTACCATACGCACCCCTACCGTCTGACATCCACCACTACGCACCCCTACCGTCTGACATCCACCATACGCACCCCTACCGTCTGACACCTACCATACGCACCCCTACCGTCTGACATCTACCATAACGCCACCCCTACCGTCTGACACCTACCATACGCACCCCTACCGTCTGACACCTACCATACGCAGCCCTACCGTCTGACATCTACCATAAACGCACCCCTACCGTCTGACATCCACCATACGCACCCCTACCGTCTGACATCCACCATACGCACCCCTACCGTCTGACATCCACCATACGCACCCCTAACCGTCTGACATCTACCATACGCACCCCTACCGTCTGACATCTACCATACGCACCCCTACCGTCTGACATCCACCATACGCACCCCTACCGTCTGACATCTACCATACCACCCCTACCGTCTGACATCCACCATACGCACCCCTAACCGTCTGACATCCACCATACGCACCCCTACCGTCTGACACCTACCATACGCAACCCCTCACCGTCTGACATCCACCATAATACGCACCCCTACCGTCTGACACCTACCATACCATACGCACCCTACCCGTCTTGACATCCACCATACGCACCCCTACCGTCTGACATCCCACCATACGCACCCCTACCGTCTGACATCCACCATACGCACCCCTACCGGTCTGACATCCACCATACGCACCCCTACCGTCTGACATCCACCATACGCACCCTACCGTCTGACATCCCCCATAACGCACCCCTACCGTCAGACATCTACCATACGCACACCTACGTCTGACATCTACCATACGCACCCTACCGTCTGACATCCACCATACCACCCTACCGTCTGAACATCCACCATACGCAACCCTACCGTCTGACATCCACCATACGCACCCCTACGTCTGACATCTACCATACGCACCCCTACCGTCTGACATCCACCATACGCACCCCTACCGTCTGACATCCACCATACGCACCCCTACCGTCTGACATCCACCATACGCACCCCTACCGTCTGACATCTACCATACGCACCCCTACCGTCTGACATCCACCATACGCACCCCTACCGTCTGACATCCACCATACGCACCCCTACCGTCTGACATCCACCATACGCACCCCTACCGTCTGACATCCACCATACGCACCCCTACCGTCTGACATCCACCATACGCACCCCTACCGTCTGACATCTACCATACGCACCCCTACCGTCTGACATCCACCATACGCACCCCTACCGTCTGACATCCACCATACGCACCCCTACCGTCTGACATCCACCATACGCACCCCTACCGTCTGACATCCACCATACGCACCCCTACCGTCTGACATCCACCATACGCACCCCCTACCGTCTGACATCACCATACGCACCCCTACCGCCTGACATCCACCATACGCACCCCTACCGTCTGACATCCACCATACGCACCCCTACCGTCTGACATCTACCATACGCACCCCTACCGAACTCTCACACACACACTCTGACATCCACCATACGCACACCTACCGAACTCTCTCTCACACACTCTGACATCTACCATACGCACCCCTACCGAACTCTCACACACACACTCTGACATCTACCATACGCACACCTACCGAACTCTCACACACACACTCTGACATCTACCATACGCACACCTACCGAACTCTCTCACACACACTCTGACATCCACCATACGCACACCTACCGAACTCTCTCACACACACTCTGACATCCACCATACGCACACCTACCGAACTCTCTCACACACACTCTGACATCCACCATACGCACACCTACCGAACACCTACCATTTCACACACTCTGACATCCACCATACGCACACCTACCGAACTCTCACACACACTCTGACATCCACCATACTCACACCTACCGAACTCTCACACACACTCTGACATCTGCCATACGCACACCTACCGAACTCTCTCACACACACATTTATTTATTTACATTTAGTCATTTAGCAGACACTCTAATCCAGAGCGATTTACAGGAGCAATTAGGGTTAAGTGCCTTGCTCAAGGGCACATCGACAGATTTTTCACCTAGTCGGCTCGGGGATTAGAACCAGCGACCTTTCGGTTACTGGCACAACGCTCTTAACCACTAAGCTACCTGCCGCCCCACACACACACCAATATGCACACACCTAACACAAACCCTCAGACCAAACACACAGTCACACATACAGGCACTGCAGGTCTGGCACAAAACACATGCCAGTATTTAACTATAAAACCTCTCTATTACAACCTCACCTGTTCTCTATTACAACCTCACCTGCTACCTGTTCTCTATTACAACCCTACCTGCTACCTGTTCTCTATTACAACCCTACCTGCTACCTGTTCTCTATTACAACCTCACCTGTTCTCTATTAAACCTCATGCCTGCTACACCTGTCTCTATTACAACCTACCTGCTACTGTCTTATTACAACCCTCACCTGCTTTCTCTATTTACAACCTCACCTGTACCTTTCTTATTACACCTACTGCTACCTGTTCTCTATTACAACCTCACCTGCTACTGTTCTCTATTACCAACCTCCACCTGTTCCTCTATTCAAACCCTACTGCTACCTGTTCTCGATTACAACCCTACCTGCTACCTGTTCTCTATTACAAACCCCTACCTGCTACCTGTTCTCTATTACAACCCCTACCTGCTACCTGTTCTCTATTACAACCCTACCGCTACCTGTTCTCTATTACAACCCCTACATGCTACCTGTTCTCTATTACAAACCTACTGCTACCTGTTCTCTATTACAACCCTACCTGCTACCTGTTCTTATTACAACCCTACCTGCTACCTGTTCTCTATTACAACCTACCTGCTACCTGTCTCTATTACAACCCCTACCTGCTACCTGTTCTCTATTACAACCACACCTGCTACCTGTTCTCTATTACAACCCTACTGCTACCTGTTCTCTATTACAACCCCACCTGCTACCTGTTCCTATTACAACCCACCTGCACCTGTTCTATTACACCCCACCTGCTACCTGTTCTCTATTACAACCCTACCTGCTACCTGTTCTCTATTACAACCCTACCTGCTACCTGTTCTCTATTACAACCCTACCTGCTACCTGTTCTCTATTACAACCCTACCTGCTACCTGTTCTCTATTACAACCCTACCTGCTACCTGTTCTCTATTAAACCCTACCTGCTACCTGTTCTCTATTACAACCTCACCTGCTACCTGTTCTCTATTACAACCCTACCTGCTACCTGTTCTCTATTCACCTACACCCTAACACCCACCTGCTACCTGTTCTCTATTACAACCCCACCTGCTACCTGTTCTCTATTACAACCCCACCTGCTACCTGTTCTCTATTACAACCCCACCTGCTACCTGTTCTCTATTACAACCCCACCTGCTACCTGTTCTCTATTACAACCCTACCTGCTACCTGTTCTCTATTACAACCCTACCCTACCCTGCACTACCTGCTGTTCTCTATTACAAACCCTACCTGCTACCTGTTCTCTATTACAACCCTACCTGCTATCTGTTCTCTATTACAACCCTACCTGCTACCTGTTCTCTATTACAACCCTACCTGCTACCTGTTCTCTATTACAACCTCACCTGCTACCTGTTCTCTATTACAACCCTACCTGCTACCTGTTCTCTATTACAACCCTACCTGCTACCTGTTCTCTATTACAACCCTACCTGCTACCTGTGGGAAAATAATTAAAGGACATGTCTCCCTCTCTCCAGAGGAACAGTCGTTATGACGGCCAGATCGCTGTGTTTGGCGTCAAGCTGCAGGAGGAGCTGGCTAAACAACGCTACTTCCTGGTTGGGGCTGGCGCTATTGGCTGTGAGCTGCTCAAGAACTTTGCCATGATCGGATTGGCTGACGGGGAGGGTGAGGTCATCGTGACAGACATGGACACTATTGAGAAGTCCAACCTCAACAGACAGTTCCTCTTCAGGTGAGAGAGGGAGGTAGGGAGGGGTAGACTTAACCCATGGAGGGTTTAAATCACGCCCCTGTAGCCTTTCCTCTGGGATTTCACTGTTTTAGACATCGAGTGTCTGAAATGGCACCCTATTCCCTAGATAGTGCACCACTTCTCATCAGGGCACATATGGGTCTTCTCAAAAGTAGTGCACTATCTAGGGAATAGAACACAGTTTGGGACGCAGGCCTTTGTGTTTTAATTGATCTGTCATTGCCTCTTGTTTGCTTGTATTTCATTGTTCTTCTGTAAAGTGTTGCGGGTTTAAAGGAACTATATTAAATAAAGTTGTGTTTGGTTTGTATTCAGGCCGTGGGACGTGACGAAGATGAAGAGTGAGACTGCGGCGGCAGCGGTGAAGCAGATGAACCCGTCCATCCGGATCACGGGTCACCAGAACCGCGTCGGGCCCGACACCGAGCGCGTCTACGATGACGACTTCTTCGAGAGCCTTCACGGAGTCGCCAACGCACTGGACAACGTTGACGCACGTAAGACTCATTATAAACATTACTGCTCAAGGTGTGATATCCGTAGTGGTCACTACAGTTATCAACAGATACAGACGTTATGGTCACTACAGTTATCAACAGATACAGATGTTATGGTCACTACAGTTATCAACAGATACAGACGTTATGGTCACTACAGTTATCAACAGATACAGACGTTATGGGCACTACAGTTATCAACAGATACAGATGTTATGGTCACTACAGTTATCAACAGATACAGACGTTATGGTCACTACAGTTATCAACAGATACAGACGTTATGGTCACTACAGTTATCAACAGATACAGACGTTATGGTCACTACAGTTATCAACAGATACAGATGTTATGGTCACTACAGTTATCAACAGATACAGACGTTATGGTCACTACAGTTATCAACAGATACAGACGTTATGGTCACTACAGTTATCAACAGATACAGACGTTATGGTCACTACGTTATCAACAGATACAGACGTTATGGTCACTACAGTTATCAACAGATACAGATGTTATGGTCACTACAGTTATCAACAGATACAGATGTTATGGTCACTACAGTTATCAACAGATACAGATGTTATGGTCACTACAGTTATCAACAGATACAGACGTTATGGTCACTACAGTTATCAACAGATACAGACGTTATGGTCACTACGTTATCAACAGATACAGATGTTATGGTCACTACAGTTATCAACAGATACAGATGTTATGGTCACTACAGTTATCAACAGATACAGACGTTATGGTCACTACAGTTATCAACAGATACAGATGTAATGGTCACTACAGTTATCAACAGATGTTATGGTCACTACAGTTATCAACAGATACAGATGTTATGGTCACTACAGTTATCAACAGATACAGACGTTATGGTCACTACAGTTATCAACAGATACAGATGTAATGGTCACTACAGTTATCAACAGATGTTATGGTCACTACAGTTATCAACAGATACAGACATTATGGTCACTACAGTTATCAACAGATACAGATGTTATGGTCACTACAGTTATCAACAGATACAGACGTTATGGTCACTACAGTTATCAACAGATACAGACGTTATGGTCACTACAGTTATCAACAGCTACAGACGTTATGGTCACTACAGTTATCAACAGATACAGACGTTATGGTCACTACAGTTATCAACAGCTACAGATGTTATGGTCACTACAGTTATCAACAGATACAGACGTTATGGTCACTACAGTTATCAACAGCTACAGATGTTATGGTCACTACAGTTATCAACAGATACAGATGTAATGGTCACTACAGTTATCAACAGATGTTATGGTCACTACAGTTATCAACAGATACAGATGTTATGGTCACTACAGTTATCAACAGATACAGATGTTATGGTCACTACAGTTATCAACAGATACAGATGTTATGGTCACTACAGTTATCAACAGATACAGACGTTATGGTCACTACAGTTATCAACAGATACAGATGTAATGGTCACTACAGTTATCAACAGATGTTATGGTCACTACAGTTATCAACAGATACAGACGTTATGGTCACTACAGTTATCAACAGATACAGATGTTATGGTCACTACAGTTATCAACAGATACAGACGTTATGGTCACTACAGTTATCAACAGATACAGACGTTATGGTCACTACAGTTATCAACAGCTACAGACGTTATGGTCACTACAGTTATCAACAGATACAGATGTTATGGTCACTACAGTTATCAACAGATACAGACGTTATGGTCACTACAGTTATCAACAGATACAGAAGTTATGGTCACTACAGTTATCAACAGCTACAGATGTTATGGTCACTACAGTTATCAACAGATACAGATGTTATGGTCACTACAGTTATCAACAGATACAGATGTTATGGTCACTACAGTTATCAACAGATACAGATGTTATGGTCACTACAGTTATCAACAGATACAGATGTTATGGTCACTACAGTTATCAACAGATACAGACGTTATGGTCACTACAGTTATCAACAGATACAGATGTTATGGTCACTACAGTTATCAACAGATACAGATGTTATGTGTTTGAGGCATATTCAAGCTTTGACAGTGTTACTAGAGACATTTCGTTTGCAATGATGAACTACATATTTGATTTCGAACAGAGTTACATTAGGAAGTGCAAGTAGCACATGGTTCTCCTGAATGCAGTGTTCAAGCTACTAGATACTGCCTGTCTGGACGGTAGGGAGAAACTAGATACTGCCTGCCTGTCTGGACGGTAAGGAGAAACTAGATACTGCCTGTCTGGACGGTAAGGAGAAACTAGATACTGCCTGTCTGGACGGTAAGGAGAAACTAGATACTGCCTGTCTGGACGGTAAGGAGAAACTAGATACTGCCTGTCTGGACGGGAAGGAGAAACTAATACGGCTGTCTGGACGGTAGAGGGAGAAACTAGATACTGCCTGTCTGGACGGTAGAGGGAGAAACTAGATATGCCTGTCTGGACGGTAGGGAGAAACTAGATACTGCCTGTCTGGACGGAGGGAGAAACTAGATACTGCCGTCTGACGGTAGGGAGAAACTAGATACTGCTGTCTGGACGTGAGGAGAAACTAGATACTGCCTGTCTGGACGGTAAGGGAGAAACTAGATACTGCCTGTCTGGACGGAGGAGAAACTAGATACTGCTGTCTGGACGGAAGGAGAACTAGATACTGCCTGTCTGGACGGTGGAGAAACTAGATACTGCCTGTCTGGACGGTAGGAGAAACTAGATACTGCCTGTCTGGACGGTAAGGAGAAACTAGATACTGCCTGTCTGGACGGTAGGAGAAACTAGATACTGCCTGTCTGGACGGTAGGAGAAACTAGATACTGCCTGTCTGGACGGAGAGAACTAGATACTGCTGCTGGAGGGAAGGAGAACTAGATACTGCCTGTCTGACGGTAAGGAGAATAGTAACTGCCTGTCTGGACGGTAGGAGAAACTAGATACTGCGTCTGGACGGTAAGGAGAAACTAGATACTGCCTGTCTGGACGGTAAGGAAACTAGATACGCCTGTCTGGACGGTAAGGGAGAAACTAGATACTGCTGTCTGGCGGAGTAGGAGAACTAGATACTGCCTGTCTGGCGGTAGAGGAAACTAGATACTGCCGTTCTAGGACGGTTTTGTATGAGGAAGAAACTAGATACTGCCTGTCTGGACGGTAGGAGAAACTAGATACTGCCAGTCTGGACGGTAGAGAGAAACTAGATACTGCCTGTCTGGACGGTAGGGAGAAAAAACTAGATACTGCCTGTCTGGACGGTATGGAGAAAACTAGATACTGCCGTCTGGACGGTGGAGAAAAGATACGCTGTCTGGACGGATAGGAGAAACTAGATACTGCCTGTCTGGACGGTAAGGAGAAACTAGATACTGCCTGTCTGGACGGGTAGGGAGAAACTAGATAACGCCTGTCTGTAGGAGAGGGAGAAACTAGATACTGCCTGTCTGACGGAGAGGAAAACTAGATACTGCCTGTCTGGCGGTAAGGAGAAACTAGATACTGCCTGTCTGGACGGGAGGAGAAACTAGATACTGCCTGTCTGGACGGGTAGGAGAGAAACTAATACTGCCTGTCTGGCGTAGAGGAGGAAAGATACTATGCCTTCTGACGGTAGGAGAAACTAATACTGCCTGTCTGGACGGTAAGGGAGAAAATAGATACTGCCTGTCTGGACGGTAAGGAGAAACTAGATACTGCCTGTCGGACGGTAGGAGGATAAACTAGTCACTGCCGTGTCCTTGGACGGTAGGAGGAAACATATACTGCCTGTCTGGACGGTAGGGAGACTAGACTGCCTGTACTGACGGTAGGGAACTAGTATGCCTGTCGGACGGAGAGAGAACTAATACTGCCTCTGGACGGTAGGAGAACTAGTACGCGTCTGGACGGTAGAGGAAGAAACTATGATACTGCTGACGGACGGTAAGGAGAAACTAGATACTGCCTGTCTGACGGTGAGGAGAAACTAGATACTGCCTGTCTGGACGGTAGGGAGAAACTAGATACTGCCTTCTGGACGGTAGGGAGAAATAGAACTGCCTGTCTGACGGTAGAGGAGAAACTAGATACTGCCTGTCTGGACGGTAAGGGAGAAAAACTAGATACTGCCTGTCTGGACGGTAGGAGAAACTAGATATGCTTCTGGACGGTAGAGGAGAAACTAGATACTGCCTGTCTGGACGGGAGGGAGAAAACTAGATACTGCCTGTCTGGACGGTAAGGAAATAGAATAATAGCCTGTCTGGACGGGGTGGAGAAACTAGATACTGCCTGTCTGGACGGTAAGGAGAAACTAGATACTGCCTGTCTGGACGGTAGGGGAGAAACTAGATACTGCCTGTCTGGACGGTAAGGGAGAAAACTAGATACTGCCTGTCTGGACGGTAAGGAGAAACTAGATACTGCCTGTCTGGAGGAGGAGAAATACTGCCTGTCTGGGGGAGGAGAAGAAGACTAGATACTGCCTGTCTGGACGGTAAGGGAAACGATGGAGAGAACTAGATATGCCTTCTGGACGGAGGAGAAACTAGATACTGCCTCTGGACGGTAAGGGAGAAAAATACTGCCTGTCTGGACGGTAGGAAAACTAGATACTGCCTGTCTGGACGGTAGGGAGAAATAGAATACTGGCCTGCTGGACGGAAGGGAAACTAGATCTGCTGTCTGGACGGTAAGGGAAAAATACGCCTGTCTGGGGGAGGAGAAACTAGATACTGCCGTGTCGGGACGGTAGATGGAGGTGAGAAACTAGATACTGCTGCGGGAGGGAGAAACTAGATACGCGTCTGGAGGGTAGACGGGGGGAGAGAAACTAGATACTGCCTGTCTGGACGGTAGGGAGAAACTAGATACTGCCTGTCTGGACGGTAAGGAGAAACTAATACTGCCTGTCTGGACGGAGGAGAAATAGATCTCCGTCGGAGGGAAGAAACTAGATACTGCCTGTCTGGACGGTAAGGAGA